AATATATATATATATATATATATATATATATAGCTCATCAAGATTTAATTGAGTAGAAAATGGTAAGTGTTTTATTTAGTTACTGAATATTGTATTTTGTACGGTATTTGTTTTTAACTTGGTTAAACATTTTCAAAACATAAAGATTTTTCACTTTGTAGAAGGGGCACATTGTTGTGGTTTCATCTAAAATAAGGATTTTGAAAGTATAAGTAAATCACTTCACTTTGGGAAGTTATATTTCAAAATATAAATATTTGTGACCAGAAATTAATTAGAAATCAACCTAATATTTATGATACTATATTTTTAATGGTATTTTTTAAATTAAAATATTGAGACTTATGCGACTGATGCCAAATTGTTTAATTTCATATTAATCTTTTCCTTATCTGTTAGGCTTCTGTAACAGGGTTGAAATGTAAGTGATGTAATGTCAAACATTAATGAACCACTCAATGTATTAAAAAATTTAGCATACCTTTGAAAAATCATGAGGAAGTTAATGTTTCTGTAAAAAAATCAGTTCATGGAATTCCTTTATTCAGTTTACCAACAGGAACAAAGTTAGTGTTCAGATGATGTTTGGGCTTTAAAGTAATAAAAACCTGAATTTTTTTTACAATTGTTCTGAAAATGTACATAATCTTTGTATTATACATTTAAATAAATTATACCAGGGACAGAACTTGTTAGATGAAGCATGTAAAGCAATTCAATTTTGGATATCTCCAAAGAAAATTCTCTCAAGGTATTTTCATAGCCAATTAAAAAATGACAAAAAGCAATATATTAAATAACAAAAAAAGTATAAATTTGTTAGTTCTTTTGAAACTAATTTTTAAAGATAGAATTGGGATATTTATGCTTAAGTAAATAAAATGTCAAAACTGTAAGTTTTGTTTTAAATTGATCTACTAACGAGATGTGTTACTTGGTAAAAGACTCCACATAAATAGCAAGCAACACACAGATTTCCTATAAGTTAGACTCTAAAAGGAGAAAACTGAGCCTAAGGAAGCTGACTCAGTGATAATAAAATTAATTTTGTACAATTTTTACTAATCTATGGTTATAATAAAAAAGTTCAGTATAAACTCATACTTAAATACTTCTGCAAGAAAAGTGTTATTTTTATTTAGCCTATTCTATAGCCTAACAATAATTGAATAAACTTTAATTATAGCTAAAGACACAATAAACTTGCTAAGCCAAACTGTAGGTTAAACAGATTTAAACTGATGTATTAAATTATCATCAGTAATTAAATAGTAATTTAAATATTTAAGTTAAATGCAAATGTTCAATTTCTTTTACAAAAATTAAACTGCAAATTGATTTTAGATCCTTAAATGTATTAAGTTAATTCTGGTTTGAACAGAAATAATTTACTGTGATAACTTATTTCTGCAAAAAAAAAAAAAAAGACTTGTAAGTATGTGTTTTTTTTACTCTATAATTGAACTGTTAGTGGATTATTGACAGTTTTAATATCATTTTAATCCAATTCTGGTTTCTGCCACACTAATTGATTTTTATGTGACATGTATGACTGTTTATGTCTAAACGTTTGTATGTATGCACTTGCACCTCACATATTTCACATTTTCACGCTCCTTCAGATAGCCCTGGAACCAATGAATACATCTTAAACACAGTTTAAAATGTGTTTAAATTTTTATTCACTAAGTCTTAATTACATGTTTACATGGCACAGGTATTGTAATCAATTCAACGCTTTGGGAAGATTGTTAGATCTGCTTCTGTAGTTTTCCTGTTTGGGTTTTCCATGCTTCTCTGTACTTTTTATTTTCATACTTACTTTTTAGAGTTCGTAGTAAATCCTGAAGGGGAAATGGTGAAAGGGGAACAGTCTTTCCTTGCTGTATAATGTTTATCTGCATGACTCCTAGTGCTTTTCTCAGGTTGAGGTGGTGGTGGTTGGACATTGACTAATACATCCCTTTCTTCAACGAACTTAGTGGTTCCTTGTATATTCTGAACACATACATCCAAAGCCCAATTTGTGCCTTTTGTTATTAGCTTGGACTGAAATATCATCATGGATATCATTGAGTGCTTCCTTTTAAATTTAAATTCAAAAAGTTAATAAAGACCACTAAGCAGGAACTGCAAGAGACAAACAGTAAGTGTGCTGGGAAAGGCTATGGATTGTAAGCTGATTCCTCAGAAAAAACATTTTGATACATCAACAGAGTTTTCAGAAAGTGAGATTCCTCCAGCAGTTGGTCATGGAATGCTGAAGAAGTTGACACATAGTTAGAATCACTATATGTGGGAGAGTATGGAGAAAATATCATCAAACGTGACATTCATGGTCCAGAACTACTGAGTCTAGAGAGAGAGAAGATATCTCAAGGTATGTTGCATTATATCTATATATGTATATAGAAATAGACTGACATCATAATATAAATATCTGAATGTTCTAGAGAGAGAAGATATCTCAAGGTAGGTTGCATTATATCTATATATGTATATAGAAATAGACTGACATCATAATATAAATATCTGAATGTTCTAGAGAGAGAAGATATCTCAAGGTAGGTTGCATTATATCTATATATGTATATAGAAATAGACTGACATCATAATATAAATATCTGAATGTTCTAGAGAGAAGATACTTCAGATTAGGCCTTACAAATCCGATGTATGCAAATGATTTTGTCAATTTATAAAAGTTTTTAATACCCATATCAGCCATCTCTACTATATATATATATATATATATATTAACTTGAACGTAATTAATCCCAATTTTGTTTTAGAATAGTTTTGAAAATATATTTAACTCACAGGAATTTTTCTCACTGTTTTAAACAAAATGTCAAGTATTAGTAGGTATGTGTGTGTGTAATTTTACATCACAATAAGACTAATAATAATTCAAATCAAATTATTCTTGACTGGTCCAGTATGTTTTCAGTTAGAAGAGTGTATTATAGATTTCAACTATACCCTGTTGATTTTTTGTTGCTGTTGATGAAGGCTTTTTCTCGCTACCAGCTGTGGGTGCATTATAAAAATGAGAGTCAGTCCTGTTATATGTTGTATAAAGAGCAGGACAAAACCCTTGAAGCAGTGGGTATTGCTAAGTCTACGTTCCCTGTGCTCAGTAGTTGAAATTTATAGATGGTTATACCTTATTCCTAGGGGGTCTTTGATTTGGCAATTGAGGTTGAAAATTCCAATTTATATTGCCAGAGCTAATCAGGCTGGCTACGTTTTGTCATGCACATTTATAGTTGAAACACTATTTGTATGAGTCACTTACAATGTAGGAGACAATGATTCTTAGTGGAAGATCTATAACACTAATGCTTTTTGTTAAAGCTAGTGTAGAAAAAATAATATATCTGTTCAAAGTAGATTTAAAATCCTTTGGTATAGATAAGTATTCAAGCTGTATTTAACAATTGTAAATTATATATATTCTTTATAGATACATGTACGAAACTAAATGATGATTTTCATTATCTTCATATCAGAATGATTGAAGTAAATTAACTGGTATATGACAAGTGCAAAATATTACACTGTGTTAGTTAATAATTTTAAAGTGAGTTACATAATATAAAATTTATACTTTCTGAAGTTATCCTTTTTAAAGTAGTTACAGAAGTCAGTAGTTAAGTTCAATTGGTTGTTTTAGACTAGAACCATACTTAAGATATATGAAATTTTCAGATGAACTGATTTTATCACAAGTATCAGATAGTTTGACCCATTAATAACACCAGATTCAATCAGGAAATAAGAAGAGTAATCTGTGTTGGATAACTTGACTGAGTTTTAAGTTACATGAGAAATAAACAGATTTATTTAAATACAATAAAAATAACAGTGTGCATACCTACACAGACAAGTGGATGATCACCTCTATTAGACCAGTGAATAGCTCACCAGCTTTCATACCAGAGATGAATCTCTGGCAAGCAGTTCATGATGAAAACCAAGTAGAACTGAATCAAGAAAGTATGCCTGAATTCAAAAGGCAAACAAAGTTTCTTTGTCCAGTCAACAGCATCTCCTCATGATCTTTGTCCTCTTACTGCATTAGTTGGCTGTAGTATTCATACATTGTCAGTTCAGCCAGTAAAAGATGTTAGTCATTAATCCTCTCAAATAAAATAGACATTATCTATTGTAGAGAATGAAACAAAACAATTAGAACAAGAAAATCTCAATGACTTTTTAGACCAAGTGTTTATACTGAAACTATATACAGACTAAATAACCACAACTTTTTAAAACCCCTTTATCACTAAAGCAGATAAAAAACATATCAGTTGTTTGCACTTCACAGATATATGGGAGTGCCTGGGTATGTATGATTACTTTGGTTGAAATAGAGTATTAGTAGAGTTTTTTGTTTTTTCTCAAAGGTAATATTCTTATGACTTGGGTAGAATGAAAAAAGTGATAATATATATATTTTCAATTGTATTTTTGACTTTGTTACATATATTTACACATTAGTAGGTTTTATCTGATTCTCTATAATAGCAATTTTTCCATGATCAACTAAATTAACTTTATCCTGTGATCAAGTTCTCTAAAGGAGTTGCACAAGATAATTCCTTGCTGTTTTTAAATGTCTGTTCCTAAGGCTGAAAATTCTTTTCTTACTGAACTATTTATAGAAAATAGACAAAATGTTTTCCAAAACCCATTCATCACAAAAGCATTTTATTATAGAGATAAGTCCTTCTGTCACACACAAAGAAAATTTGAATTAGATAAAAAGATTATTTGTTAAGAGCTTGTTAATTATCTTGAATTAGACCAGTAACTTATAGAAAATTTAGATTAGTAAAAAACAAGCTATTACATGTTAAATTTGACCAAATTAATTATCAAAATCAAAGGTATCATTACAATGTGATGAGATAAAAGGAAGAAACGTGGCTACTGCATACAGACTACACAAGTATAAACTTAAACCATCAAATGTTTTATAGCATTTGTATATTTTTAAAAATGTTGACTTAATAAATGTTGAAGAAAATATTATGATTTGAGAAAAGTAAAGAAGCTCCTGTAATAAAATTTATCAACTTGAGAACTAATAAACAAGCAGAACTGGTGCTCCCCAAAATTCTCTCAAGAATGCTTCACATTCATCAATTTCTCTAGCTCCTCTAGAAAGGTGAATTAAAAAACTATATAGAATGTCTTTTTATGATTCATACTGCAGAATATTGGATTACATCATGAAATCTTGTTTACTTGTTTTAGTTTATCTTTAGTAAAGCTTACCTTATGAGCTATTTGATTTATTCATAAATTACTTTGATCCAAGTTACCTTGTTTTCAATATACCTGAATTATTAATGACATATGTGATATGAGAGTGTGTGTAGGATCAAAATGTACTTAGAATATAAAGAAACTTAATCCAAGCACCTTTCCATATTGAACTTTCTTTTATCAGGACTGAAATTGGAATGAAGAAAACAAGGAAGCAATAAACTTTTACTCACTGAGATTGTGGTTTATCTTTTGTCATGAAGTGTGGTGTAGTTATGTAGTAGGTGCTACAGTGATTTCAACTGGAGAACGGAACTGAAGAACAACATGCATAAAGAAAAGTGAGAGAATTAGAAAAACATATAACAGAAAAATTAAGCTTTAAAATAATTTAGAATAACAAAATTGCATAAGAAACTTTGAAATTACAGCTTACTGCATAGTACTATATTAGAATGAAGTTTAGAAGTATATAAGTAAATAATAGAAAACCTGATATTACAACTTTGTAGTTAGTGTGTTTGAAAGAATTAGTATGTGAAAAAAGTTTTGAAGAGATTTAACATTGATTCTCCAAAGACTAATGATCAAGTCATTGTCGTATATTTTTCAATAAGATTTTTTCAAAATAAACAATTTTAAATTTTACCCATTATCAGCTTGTTAAAGGCAAAAGCCATCATGCTACTAATAGCAGTGCTATTAGATTGTTTATAACGTTTGTAATTAAATTAAAGTTGCGTAAAGATAAATGAGTGTATATTGAGTCTGAAGTTTGGAATTTTGATAAAGCAGTTTCTAGAGATCCATAGTTTGGAATATTAGAGTTAAGGGAAGAAAATTTCAAACCAAGCTGTTAGAAAGCAGTGATCTTTATCAATTTCCCAAATATAACTGATTGAATATGTTGAGTCTATGATGTAGAAATGTGGTGGTCATCATAAATGGGTAATATTTCAGAACCACATTTATGGTGGAAATGATAGAATGGCTGGGATTATTGGGTTTGTGTATTTCAGGTAGGGGAGACCGGGGCTAGTTGTTACGATTTTTAGAAAAAGTCCAATAT